GTGTCCCCCCCCCGCAGGGACAGTACATCCTGACGCTGTCAGAGGACATCGTGGAGGGACACGAGCGGGCGATGCTGAAGCGGGTGCTGCGCATCGACGCCAAGTGCCTCCATTTTACCCCCAAGGACTGGAGCAAGAGGGGCAAGTGGTGAGGCCACGCCTGCCCACCCCCACCCTCTTTGGCCACACCCACCTGCCACACCCCACCCCACCTCATTACCCCACAGCCGGTAATTAAACATCAGCAACTGGCACTCGGCTCTGCCTCTTTTATTGGGGGGTGGGGCTTATACACGCTCTGCCCCACAGGGGAGGGGCTTGGTGGGTGGGGTCTGTCAGGGCTCCGCCTCCTCGCTGCTGTCAGTCTCAGGGACAGGGGCATGGATCTGGGGGGGCAGAAAAAGGGGGAGGGGGGAGGAACCCAGGTGTTTGGGACCCATAAGTGTGGGTCCAGGCATCCGTGCCCCATAAGTGTGGGGCCCAGGACCTCCCCCAACCCCCTCGCCCCACAGACACCAGCGTCTGTGCCCCATAAGTGTGGGTCCCAGGATGTCCCCCACCCCACAGACCCCATCATCCGTGCCCCATAAGTGTGGGTCCAGGTGTCTGTGCCCCGTAAGTGTGGGTCCCGGGACCTCCCCCAGCCCCCCGGACTCACCGCGTGGGCGAGGGGTCCCCACTGCAGCGCCAGGGCCAATCCCCTGGTGGGAGAAGGGATGACGTCAGCCTCCCAATCCGTGATGACGTCAAAAGTCCCCGTCACCATCACCCACCGCTCCTGGAGATCAAAAGTGAGAGGTCAGAGCGGGGCAGGGAACACGACCTGCCCCATGGAAAGGGATTTTGGGGAACAACATGGGGCTTTGCTGCCCCATGGGGGGGATATTCCGTGCCCCCCATGTGTGGGGCGGCCTCACCTGGGAATCTTTGTCGTCGCCGGGGGGGGCCTCCCCCTCCCGCAGCAGCACCCCCCGGTAGCCGTGGGGCAGCGGCAGTTCCCGGCCCCCCATGCGCCGCCCCCGGAACGAGGCCCATAGCTCTTGGGGGGGGGTGAAAGGAGTGAAGGGGGGGTGTCAGTGCCCCAAAACCTGCCCCATAGTGGCCCCCT